ATAAACACCCAGGGGCAGCACGTGCTCATGTCCCTCCACTCCACCCTTTCCCTTTCCTTCCAGGCAAGGATGCACAGCATTTATGGATCAGAGAGTGCCTGGGACGGGGCACAGACAAGGCTAAGCCAGGTTTGCCCTACACAAGTTTCTTTCTGCCTTCACACAACTCTCCTTGGCTTCAGTGCTGTGAGGCAGCTCCACGGGGTCACTCTCTGGTGTCTGGCCACTACTGTGCTCCCTGCTGTAAAATTCCACACTAGCAAGTGGAAAATAAAGAGCTGTGAGTCCCTAAGGCACAGCAACTTCCATCTACACATTCCCTGCACATGCCTGCAAGGAGGATTTACCTCCTGCTGATGCCCTGCGTGGGTATATGATAAACTGTATGTTAAATATGGACATCTGCACCTTTAGCCTATTGTCCAGACAGCTCATGGGCTTCAGAGTAATTCTAGACCTGCAAATCCAGCTGCTCTGAGCGTGTTCCAAATTGCTCGGGGGCAACTCCGTTAACTCTGCAGACCTTTCATCCGCTGAGGAAAATCTGTGTAGTCTACATTAGTTACAAGGGTAAACAAAAGGAAAATCAGCAGTGATGAAAAGATAGCCCAGAACACGAGCAGGAGAAGGAGGAAGGTTTCCAGCTCCAGTGAGGACACACCAAGGCTGACCCACAGCTCTGAGTCAAGCTCATTGATAACAAGCCAAGCAGACAGATTGATTCCAGGAAGGCCAAAACTCCAGTTGCACAAACTCAAGGCAATAAGGACTGGCTTCATCTGAGGGCCGAGGAGGTGGGTGGGGGAACGCTTAAGTAAGACATTCCTTAATGATTAGGCCTGGGACTATAAAGGGGGCTGAGTTTAATGAGTTTCAGTAACTCTTTCAAATTTAGGGAATTCTTTTCTCATGTATATAATTCGATCAGTTTAACAGGAAATGCCCAAAGGAAATTCAAGGACTTCAGAGATTTGGAAGATATTCAGAAATTAAATCAGAATACTTCAGATCTGGTGGCTACAGGGAATTGATGGAAATCTGTCTGCCAAGAGTTACCACCTGACCCTTATTTAACTAAACATGGGAATTTCTTTCCTTCCCTTTTCTCTTCTGAGGAGAAGGAAACAAAAAGAGACTTGTCAAATCTAATCCCACCCTTCAAAGGCCATTGTGGTCCCAGGAGGGGGAGCCAGCACACCTTTCACAAGTGTTATGTTAGATAACTAACACAAAGGGTTTAAGGCCTGAAAGGGTTCCTGGTGATTTCATCTCCTGGCAGGCAGGAGCACACACTCAAAGATCAATCTGAAAAGTCCCTTTTCACTGTGACACTGCCTTTTCTCCACCTTCAACACCAATTAGTGAGGGCTGATGTTGAGAAATTTGGATCTCTTAGGAGGCTGCCTGGGAATGACTGAGATGTTCCCAAGCTTCAATCAACACAAGGGTGATTACACCGACCTGAGACTTCACCCAAAGAGAAGAAACCTCTCAGGGCAATCTTCATGTTAACAATTCCCTCGTGCAGGGAGATGATCTGTTCACTTCTCTGTTTCTCTCTCACTCAGAACAAGTGATCCCAGGGTGCTGCTGTGCTCACAGTGACAGGGACACACAGGGAGATGCAGAGGGGTGAATCACCCCAAAACACAGTCCACGCTCACAGAAAGCTCACTCCAGATCTGAGGGTGGACTCAGAGCTCAGGTAAAAACATCCTGGGTTTAAATTAGAGCAGGTCATCACAGGAGATGCAGCGATACAGAGAAAATGCCATGAATTTCTGGACAAACCCTGGGGATGGTCTCTCTGAACCCGCATTTCCAGCAAACCCACGCAGCAGTTAACGTTTCATGCAGCACGTGCTCAAACACAGGACAAAACCAGCAGTGCTGTGATGAGAGCTGATCACCAACTGCCCTTTCAGGACACTTGGGACAAGCACTGAAGCAAAAGATACTCACCCCAGCAGCAGCTCATCAGGGACTGCAAGAAAAAGAAAAGGAAAGGTGATTTTGCTGCATTTCCCTTCTGTGAGAAACAGCATCACAGGGAGGCCGGTGTGTCCCTGAGGTACCCCCAGAGGCCACACAGCACTGCAGGGCTCTAACCATCCTCTCTAGCCACCAAAAAAACAACAAGGAGCAGCAAAATTATTGCTATGGTAGTGCTAAGGCATTTACCAAGCACAGCAATCACAGCCCCAGGGATTAATTTTAAAAAGAAATGCAGAAGCCCACAAGTACTTTCTTTTACGATGCCCTACTTTTAGAAGCACACAATAAAAGCCAGGAGGCCTCAACATCTTACTCTGTCACTTTAAGAAGTTGGTTAAAAATACATATATATTGTTTTCCCTGAAATTCTCTTGGCAAGAGTTGAGAACTCAACTTTAAAAATGTTGTTCTTTTCCCAGCACAGACTCGCAGGGCGCCACCAGTTTATGGCTCTTGATGCAGCACAAGAAACACGATGTCTTCACTTATTGGAACTTCTTGTTAAGCTGGAAAGTTACACTTCAGAAAAGCAGTGTGTTTGTTGTACTAACAGCTTAGGCTCTGCTTGTCCAATCTGATCTTTCTCTTATCACCCACGGGACTCGATGCACTGTGTCTCCATATCCCACTGGAAGATCTGGATTTTTTAATTTTAAAATCCTTTGTCCCAACAATTAAAAATATTCTCTATGACTTGCACTGTCAGTTTGAGTTTTCCAGCTTTATTTTGATCCTCCAAAGGGGTTGATCAGTTTGTTTCCGCAGCTCTACCTCAGTGTGTGCCTTAGCACCATTTTGAGGAGAAATACACCTTTAAAGGCATGCTGATTTTTTTTTCCTTAATTTACAAGAGGTTTTAAAAAGCTCTTTTAAAAAGTCACATGTAGATTTTGGATCTGCTCTAACCTGACAGGAGCCACACTGCAAGTGTGCCAAGAAGCTGTCACTGGGGTCACTCTGACAGTTTAGACACGAAGTGTCTGCCCATTCCTCACTCCCACACAGTGCTCAGGCAGACTTCTCTGAATGCTTATTTGGTTGCTTTTAGTGCAGTTAAAAATAGTCCTTCAACAGGCACTTTCCTCAGGAAGAGCCATCCTGTGCTCCTTATCAAGTAAACACAAACATTAATATTCTCTCAGCACTGATTACAGAACCACGTTAGCAATCCAAAGTGCAGGGAAGGTAATTGCTCTTAACTAGCTGCTGGAATTGGCCAGGATTTCACTGTTGGCTTATGCTTGTTTCATTCAAGCAATGGGAAATTGTTCCTTGCCCTGGGATCACCAACACACCCCCCTCTGCTGGTCAGTCAGGCAATGGGATCAGGTTTAGGAAGACTTCCCTTTCAGCTCCAGTTTTGAAATTGAAATAAAAAGCAGCATTACAAAAGGCACAGCAAAATTCCTGCCTAGAGGGATGTAAATTATCATCCCTCAAGTGCAACCACATCCACAAGAAGCTCTAAGAAGCAGCATTACCTTAAGTACCACATTCAAAGGAAGTGTCCAAACCAGTCTAATTTTTGAATTTGGCTTTGAGAAGGGGCTGTTCCCCATTATCTGTGCCTCACACCCCTTTGTGTTGTCTCCACACAGGGATACAAAGGTGAAACCCATCCCTGAGGCAACAGGGGCTGCAGAGGATGCAAACAAGGAGTGGTCAATGCCTGGCTCTGACAGTGGCACTACTGGCCACTGCCTGCTGGGATCATCCTGCTTTTCCTTTACATACCGTGTGAGGTCTCCTGAAAAGCCTTTTTGATCTCTCTCAGAAGCTCTTCTGCTACTGCTGGCAAGGTACTGCCCATCCCACTGGCACTGGACTCATCCCTGGAAGCGAGACAGAACAGGAGAGTGGGAAATCATTGAGGTCACTGTGGATCCCATAAACCAGGAGGGTGCATCCAGGCAGGGCTCTATCCTAATCCAGCAACGAGGCCAAGGACGGGCATCCTCAGCGACTTGTAAAATGTGGTTTTCACACGTTCTGGGAACACGGGATTCCTCACGAACACGCGGGTCTCTCTCAGATGCTCCCAAGCATACACAGGTGCCATGGAAAGGAGCGGGGGCACAGAGATGGGGACAGGGGGAGGCTGTGCCTGGAGTGTCCCGGTTCCCTGCACAGCTCCCCCGGGCTTGGCTGTCCCGGGGGATCCCTCAGGGAATGGCTGCTCTGCACTGTGGTCCCCAGGGGCTCCCGGGGCTATTTAGAGCCTCCCGTGCTGGGACAGCGGGCCCGGGTCACGGAGCCACAGGATGGGGCAGGCTGGGAGGGACCACAGGGGCTCGTCTGGTCCCACCTCCCTGCTCGGGCAGGGCCATCCCAGAGCGCACGGCACAGGACTGTGTCCAGATGGTTCTGGAGCATCTCCAGTGAGGGAGACTCCAGAGCCTCACTGCACACTAAAGAAGTTCTTCCCTGTGTTCAGGTGGAACTTCCTCAGCACCAGTTTCTGTCCCACTGCTCGGCACCCCCGAGCAGAGCCTGGTCCATCCTCTGACACCCCCCTTCTAGATATTTATCCACCTTAACGATGCCCCCTCTCAGCCATCCCTCCTGGAGGCTGAACACGCCCGGCTGCCCCAGCCTTTCCTCGCTGGAGATGCTCCAGCCCCCATCGCCCTCGCTGTTCCCGCCCCAGCGGCTCCACGTCCCTCCTGCCCTGAGGATCCGCTCCCGCTGGGCGGGGGGTGCAGGATCCCATCCCTGACCTGCCGGCGATGCCATTCCCACCGGGAGCGGATCCCGCTCCAGCGCCGGGGCCCGCGGGTGACGTCACTGTCGGCGCGCGCTCTTAAAGGGCCCGCGCGGGATGGCGGCGGTGCCGGGAGCCCTGTCCGTGCCGCGGGCCCTGTCCCGGCTGCGGCCCCGCCGCTGCCCCGCCCTGCCCCGGCCCGCCTGGCACCGGGGGCACCGCGGCGGCACCACCGGCACCGCCACCGCCACCTGCACCGCCACGGCGTTGGCGCGGCCGCGCTGGGCCCGCCCGGCCGGCGCTGCACTGGCCTTCCTGGGAGGTGAGGAGCGCGGCGGTCACCCATCCCCGGTGACCCGTCACCCATCCCCGGTGACCCATCACCATCCCCGGTGACCCATCACCCATCCCCGGTGACCATCACCCATCCCCGGTGACCCATCCCTGGTGACCATCACCCATCCCTGGTGACCCATCTCCGGTGACTCCATCCCCCCTCGCCCTGTCCCCGCAGGGCTGTCGCTGTTCCCCCGGGACGCCGAGGAGGAGGAGGAGGGCGAGGACGCGATCATCCTGCTGCTGAAGAGAGCCAAGGTGAGGCGCGGGGCCCGCGGGCGGGCGGGGCTCAGGGCCCGGCACTGACCGGCCCCGCTGCCCCCAGCTCAGCGCCATGAAGGGCGAGCTGGCCGAGGCCGAGCGGCTCCTGCACCAGGCCCTGCGGCTGTCGCACCAGGAGGACAACAGGCAGGCCATCGCCTACACCTACAGCGTGGTAAGGCCTGCGGGGCACGGCTGCCCCTGCGGAGGGAGGGGTTGTGCCGGGTCCCGGGGTCAGAACTGAGGAGTTGAGGCTCGTCCCTGTTATTGTTGCCTAAACTTCTAAGACTCAGTGTATGAGTTTTAGAAACCAGGCGTTGTTTAATCGGTGCCGAGGGCACTGGTCGTCATTTCACCGAAGTGCAGGCTGAGGTATCTCCACTACAGCTCACGTGTCACCATCATGTAATTGTTAACTTTTTGTTCCCTGCGCTCCTGTTGCATATTCGTGACACTTTCCAACACTTGTTGGCATATATGCATATCCTTATAAGATCTCTGAGGGTCTTCACTGAGGGCGGTGGTGGCCTTCTCTGTCTGGAGCCCCCCAAATTTCTAAGTAACTGCCTTGTGAATTTCTTCAGGACAATGCACCTGGTTAAAAAGTAACTGCGTGTTGCCTCGCTGCTTGCTTGCTCTTCACTGTTTCTTTAAATTAGTTGGCTGAGGTATCTGTAGGTTTTATGTTGTAAATTCTGTCAGTTCTTGTTACATCTCTAAACCCCGACATCACTACCTTTATGGAGCTTCAGCGCTGTTTGTCTCTTCCAGATGGCGAACGTGGCCTTCATGCAGGGACAGCTGGACAATGTGAGTAACTCCAGTTCTTCCCTCCGAATTTTAAGATGCTGACATCTCGAAGCTGTGGTGTGCTAGGACAGGCTGCAGGCTGAGAGCTGTGTTTTCACTTCTAACTTGATGCACAATGTAAATGCCACGAATTTCAGACAGGTCTCTCCAAGCAGTCTGCCTCTGGTTTGTTTTAAGAGCCATCATTCCTTGGTATCCTCTTCAAAATTCTCATTTCAGGCAGAAAAGCTCTACAAAGCAAGTATGAGCTATTTGCTTGCAGGGGACATGAAGGAGGTACGTTCTTCTGAGAAAGGCAACAAGATGGGGATTTTTAAGGTCTTAAACTCTCTGGCAGAGTAATGTTTCTGTTGGGGAGGTGCAGGAAGAGTGACAGTTGCATTGTGTGTCCTCCTGGCAGGATGACAATGCAATCCTTGAGATGTCCCTCAAGCTGGCCAGTATCTACGCTGCTCAGAAACAGTGAGTTCCCTGCTAAAGGCATCTTTTGCTTTCATCTCAGCTTCAGAGTGGCAGGAATGGCCAAGCAGAGGCTCTTTAAGAACAGAGTGCGTGAGGAAGCTTTGATGTGACAAGACACCATCAGCTCAAAGGTTCCCACACACATATTTGCCTGCCCACTGCTGTGCAGCACAGCAAGTGGTGCAAGGACCAGCCCAGCTCAGGGCAGAGGTAGCCATGGAGAACTGAAATCCACACCTCCCTGGGCAGAGGCTTTTGGGGATGGTGGTGGCTGGTGACTTGTAGCCTCACTTTTCAGGGAAGGCTCAGCATGGGTGGCCTGAGTCAGCCTTGGTGGGGGAAGGGGGTCCTATGCACCCCCTGGATCCCCTTGCCCATGGATCAAGAGAAGGGTTCAGGCCATGATTAAGAGCACTGAGGGGCTGCAGAAGGAGAAAATTAGCCTTGCAGGCCCTCTAGAATGAGGGGTTGAAGGTGTTCACATTTATCCCTGCAGGGATGGAAGGAGCTTTGCTTTGCACTTTGCAGGGACAAATTAGCTGTAGCTGGGTACCAGTTCTGCATCCTGACCTTAGAGGAGAAGATTGCCAAGCAAAAGGACTTGCCTGAGGATGTCTTACCAGGTGGGACTGCCCTGTCTGCCAAAGGCTCCTCATTATCCTCTCTCCATATTCATGTCCTTGATGTTGTTTTCCATATTGCCTCAGCACCACCTCCATGTCCATCCGTTGTCTTCACGCTGCATGAGCTGCTTGCTCTTCTAGGATGGAGATTCGTGCTTGATCCTGGACAAGTGACCATTTCACTCCTCTGTGTTTGCAGCTGAAGAAAAGGCCAACACCCGTCTCCTGCTCGGGATGAGCCTGGACTCCTACGCCCGGTACCTCCTGAACATCAACCAGCTCCCAGCGGCCCAGAAAATGTATGAGAAGGCTCTGCAGATAGCAAACGATGTTCAGGGAGAGACCCATCCACAGGTGACTTGTACTACAGTGGCTGGACCACTAGAGAAGGAAAGGCTGATCTCTAGGGAGCTTTGCTGACATCCAACAGGCCCAGCACTGAGTGAGGCTGTTTTCCTGCAAGTGTAGAAATATAAGGCACTTTCTCGCTGAAAGCTTCTCTGGGAAGTGCTGCTTTATTATTAGCGTGACAGGGGATGAATGTGATGCTTCTGCTGCCTCAGACTGCTGCACAAGTCTTGCTCTGAGGCTTCCCATTTCCATCCTGGTGCAGACTGTGGTGCTGATGAACGACTTGGCGACTGTGCTGGATGCTCAGGGGCACCACGACGAGGCCTATTCCTACGTGAAGAGGGCGGCAGAGCTGGCCAGGGAGACTCAGCACCCCGAGGAGCACATGGTGCTGAATAACCTGGCAGCAGTTCTGATGCACAAAGGTCAGTAAATCCATGCCCAGCTTGTCACTGTGCTTGACTGTATTGTAGCACTGGTTTTGCATGCCTAGTTTTAGTTTAAGCAGTAGGTCTGACTTTGTGAAGGCAATTCAGACCCACTTCAGCTGCTGACCCAGAAGGTTGCCAGGGGGTCTTGTCTTGTCCTCTGTAACTGGCTCCAAAGGATAGAAGACGTGGATGAGATTTGTTTCCATGAGATATTAATGCTGATGCAGCACCTTGTCCAGTCCTTGTTGCTGTCCAGCTCTCATAGGTGACAGTCCCCCAGGATGTTTTCTGTCTCTCTAGTTCTTGATGTGTTCCAAGCAGTCCTCGTCCTTTGCACGTGGTCAGCTCCAGGAGGGGACTCTGGAAATGGCTGATGTACCTGGATAGCCATGCCTCTTTTCCCTCTTGCTACAGAAGACTTTCTGCAAGCAAAACAAGTGTACAAAGAAGCTCTCAAGCAGGCACAACAGAAGGGGGATGTTGCTTCTGTCCAGCATATCCAGGAAGAATTAGCTGAGCTGGCCAAGAGGAGGAAGGGCTCCAAGTAAGTTTGGCCACGGAGTCCAACCTTCAGGTGGCCCAGGGCAACAAGGGCTGGTCAGCATGAGCAGCCTGGGACCAGCTCGGTGCAATTCTCCAGGGGAGCAGCAAGGAGGAGTTCAAGGACTGCTAAACAGGGAGGGCTGCTACTGCCCAACAACTTATCCCAAAATAAAGGTGTGAAATCTGAACTATGTGAATTTGTGGTGCAGTCTGTGGTTAGAGTGACCTGCTGTGCTAGTGATTTGACTGCCAGCAAAGGGCAGGCCTGGCCTGGTATTAATTCTTGCAGTTAAGGAGTTTGTTTGCTCCTCCTGCCTGTTCCAGAAGTGTTCAGTTTCAAAACATGGCTGTACCAGAGCAAGTCATGGAAAGGAACAGGCAGGAACTCTCTTTCCATGCTGGGCAGCACAACAGGGGCTACACTTTTGTCAGTGCTACAGCTGAGTGTGTCTGAACGTCAGGAGAGCATTTCCCAGGCTGTACCTGCACTGTGCCAGAGCTGTAGCTCCGTGTCCTTGTCAGACAGGTTGCCTGAAGATCAAGGGTATTTCTTCAAAGCACTGAGCATCCAAAGATAGAACATGCCCTCTCAGGGGAGGAGTGAGACTGTTACCAAAACAGAGCTGTTGTCAGAAATACAACACTTGGCTCCCTTACCCCAGTGGAGAGCACACGGAGTGCCAAAGCTGTCCTCCTTCCTTGGAGAGGTCAGTGTTAGAATGCTGAGGCTTCCTGTTGGAAAAGATGGTATGTACAAACCCAGCTTTGTCAGCTACATCCCTTCATGTGAATCAAGTATCAACAGCTGCTTTATGCAACAGAAATTTTCAGTTCTGCCCTGCCAGGAAGCCTAATGTTAAAGACAGAGGAGAATTGAACCAGAAATTATCAAATCCCTATTCAGTTAGGGTGGCACAATTAATTAGTACTGTCAATAACCAAGCATAATTTTAACCTCTCAGTTGTCAGAACTTCAGCTGGCTGGGACAACCTTCAGTGTTAAATGCATCATTTTTAGTTCACTGCCAGTAGCAGCTTCAGCTCTGCTGAACTTTGAGCTAAGGCGTGTGGGTTTTCTGGAGTAAAGTCCACTGAAGCTGAAAAAACTTCAGTCATGTACATCTTTGTTCTCAGCAAGCTAGGAAGTAAAAATATGACTGTACTTGACAGAAAAGCTCTGACACATCAAAGCCAACCTTTAAAGTTCTGGTTTTAGTTCTGAAGTGGCAGCCCTGGGACAGCAGCAGTGTTAAGTGGGAGCCCTGCAGCACCCCTGAGGGCAGGGTCTGGCTTGATGCTGCAAAACAAGAGGGAGACACAGGAAAAGCAAGTGGAGAACTGATCCCCTTTATTGATTGGTCTGAATCCAGAAGTCACTGTCTACTGAAGACATTGTGTGGAAATTATGATGCATGGGTTTTTCAAGTCTTAAATGATTTCATATCAGAATCACGAACCATATCAAGATGAAAGCATTGTGAAAGCGCTGATCAGAAATCAGGTAAAAATTTGTAGTAAACTACACTTTGTAAACATGACTTACAAACACCTTCCTGTTTGGAACAGGGCAGATGTAATTCCATACTTGAAGATTACTGGAATTGTGGTAAACCCTAACTTAGGCTCTGGAGAGGTTTTTTTTTTTTACACTGGAGAAGTTAAAACTCGGATAACAAACAAAAAAGCAGCAACATTTTATGTGCAAATGCCACTCAAGCTGTATCTTAGGAGAAGGTGACTATCCTACTTTGGATATCTTGCTGCTGCTGCAGCAGTAACATGAAGCTTTGCAATGAACATGCCATACTTACTGTACAGGTAGCAAAGACATTTGTCTGTACATGCCTCTTTCACATTGTATTTGTTACACTAAGAAAGTGAGAACAAGTGAGCTTAAGAATGGAACTTAACTCTCCACTCCAAATTTAAATCTACAAAAAGGGCAGATCAACTCGTTTTCCAGTACATGTTGCTGTGGGAACAAAAAAGAGAGTTAAAATAAGAGCACAGGTCTACAAACAGGATGAAAACTTCACTGCTTCAAGCCAGAAGGGTAAAGGATGGGAGGATGAGAGAAATCTTTCTTAGAGAAAGACTGCAAGGAGATTTAAGACTGCCAAAGGATCTACTCTGATGCAGTGTTTAAAAAAGGTAGCAAAATAATTCTGTCTTTTCAACACAGTGTCAAGTTTCCAAATGAGTTCCTTTGGATTTTTTTTTTTTGTTTGTTTCCCACACTTGGGGCAAAAAGGCCTTCCTTAAAAAGGACTGAAAACAAATTTGCTGTTGATGAATAGTTCTGTGCTTCTTCCTGTTTGTAACTGGACCATCACAGTCCCTCCACAGGATGCAGAGCTCTCATGGCTGGTTACACAATGCACTACACCTTCCACACCACGGGTCACAAACACAGCCGTAAAGTCCAGATATTTTCACTGGAAAAGAACTTCAAGGCAAAGGCTCTGCTGATCAATGAGATGTAAAAGCAGTTTGGAATCTGACAGACCACGCCACCCCCCCCAGCTCAGTGCTATCTGTAAATCAGTCCTTCTACCCCAGAAGAGTTCAGTTCACTCCCTGAGGTCAGTGCAGCATAAAATAAGATGCTCCTGGAGATGGATGTCGGGACACTCCGTGACATCACTGACCAGATGTGTGTGACCATGAGCTACAAGCATACCAGAGCAAGCACTGAATGATTAAGGAGACTCTCCTAGTACCATATACAATTTCAAAATAAAAATCACCCTTAACAAGTATTGCACACTTCAGGAGTTAAGCCAAGCATTTGTAAGGACTTCCACCAAAAGCTTGCTTACAGGGACAGGGACTGGGACACAGACTTCAAAATAATTATTACATAAAGACTTTAAAATCAGGCTGGAGGAAGGTAAAAGTCACAGTACCTATTTCAAACTGGTTGTAACAGAAGCCAAATAGCTGACTCGTGTGTTGCTCGATTATTCTATAAAAGCACTTTGTTTTATTTAAACTTGGGATGTAGAGGTTTTTCTTCTTAAAGGATTTATCAACCCACCCAGAGCCTCTTCAGAAAAACCATTTGCTGTGGTTTAAATATGACAGTAAAATTTAGTAGCCTGTTTTGACTGCATACAATGCAGAAACAGAAAACACTAAGATAGGCTTTTGGGGCACAGTTAAAATTCCCAGTGTGCATAACAGTGAGGTATGCCTCCAGAAGCTGTTCTTTTTGTTTCTTTAACCTTTTAAAAATGAGCCATAACATACCCATGCAATAATATTTCTGCAGTGTTGCTAAAGAAAACCAACTGCACCAAAAATTTACAATGTGGCAGAATTTCAAATTCAAAAAGAAATATATCATCTTATTCCAGCGAACCGGACTATGTTAATGTACAGAATTCACTAAGGGGTCAGTCTTAAAAATCAACATTTTCACAAGAGCTTGAACACCACTGAAAGAGTGTGTCTAGGGAAAAAAAAAATATATATATAAAAGCACAATGCCTGCAGGAAGTGGCACGGCATTAAATGGGCAATGATGGTTGGGAGGCTGGGGTTCTGGTTAGGCTAGGCTGAGAGGGAGGCTAGGGTTATGAAGAGTATTCTACACTGGAGAAAATGCTTAAAAAAAATTACAAAATGACCCCCAAAGTTTAGGCAATGATTTGAACATAAGTACACCAGATACTATAGCAAGGGAAAAAACACTGCAAAAAGTACTCTCTATTTACAGAAGAATGATTTAAAAGACATTATGGTTTTCTTTACAAATAGATGTAGAGCAGGAATAGTCCAACATTTTTAAAAACTCTTTACATATTTATCTTTAGTAAGTCAACCTTCTCGACCACAATCCTCCAACACACAGCCTGTGCAGAAGGCATCGAACGGACTCTCCAGCAATTCTTCATTGTGTGGCCCTTGCTCTCTTGGAAAGTCTCTGTGGGCACAAGTCAAAAATAGATTTCTTTTTTTTTGACCCGCAAATTAAAAAAAAAAAAAAAAAAGAAGAAAAAAAAATTAATCTGCATAGTTCAGTCATCACTGTCAGACAGAGTCTCGTATTGTGCTGAAAGCAGTGGTGCAGGCTCTCGCTCCCAGATCCTGTTCTGTTGGTGAGTGGTTGCTTGGCTCATGGCCGGGGGGGCACAGGCGATGGATGTTGGGGGGGTGCTGCTGAGCATCCTCATGGTCAGCGGGTTGTACGGGAACTGGGTGGAACCTGCATCAAAAAGGCAAAAACAGGAGCTGGGCTGAGAGACCTGTGTAAAGCCAGGCTGGTTTTGGTTGTGACAGCTATCAGAAAATCCTCATGCACTGTATAAGCCAATACCCAGTGTTACAGTGGGTCGGCATCTGAGCTTTCTACAAACGCTTCATCTCGTTTGGGAAGTTTGAAAGAACCCCATTCCTCACCTGTTGATGAAGGCCTGTCTTCCCAGGCCCACACTGGAGTCTGTCTGTGGTAGTCCCCTTCTGAATGTACAGATGAGACAGAGGAAGGTCTTTCAGTTCCCAAATATCCCTGTCCAGGAATCGGAGACTTCGACTTCCTGCTGTTGGACTTGCCGATGAGCTTCTGCTTGCTGACTCCCCCTCCTGGGAACAGAAGGCACACATTTCACAAAAACTGCATTTTAGCCTCTGTGTGTTTGTTTCTCTAAGCTATCATGCAGCACTGAGAAGCTCCAGGTGTCCAATACACCCTGTTCCATCAGTGTCATCACAGGTTCATCCTCCTGAAAACCCAGGACCGCAGAGGGGATGCAAACACCCCCTCTATCACTTCCAGAGAAAAGACAGTGCTTTTCAGTGACACCAAATTTACTCACACCCTTGATTTATTTATTTGAAGACCATGGGATATTTAGGAGTTGCAGTAACACCTCACCTGAATTTGGTGATGGATTGGCTTCTTCCCTCCGTGTCTCGTTGCTCGCCGGTACCGCGGCCCCGGAGGTGCCCGGGGCGACCGCGATGGATTGGGACATTACAACGCCGTGTTCCTCGCTCTTGTCATCGAAGTTTCCCATCAATGCTTTCCTAATTATGTCTTCCAGACCCAGATTACTGGCAGGATCTGCAAAGGAATGACCCCTCGAACTGACTGCACCTGGGAGAGAAAAGAAAAAAGGGAAAAAGGTGGGAAGGGAGGCAAAAAAGGTCTCAGAGAAATTACAAAGGGGTGTGGGGAAAGATTTTA